TGAGATTTCCTTGTGGCCTCCTATCCAAATACCAGTTAAGTTCAACCCTACGGCTTTTTCAAGATCAGCCACAGTCAGCTAGGTGCTGCTTTTACGTTAGAGTCCAGAAAGTACTGCTTTTATTAAAATAACTAACAATATGTACATTGCTAAATATAAAGTTGCTAGCCAACAAAGAGAAAAAAAAGGTGGAGGGGGATTGTTTTGCTTCCACTGTAGTGGCTGAAAAAGCAGTAAGCAAGGTTACATTTCTTCCCTCAGTTAAAAACAAAATCAAAGCTGTATACTTACCAAACAGAGCAGTTCCATGCCAAACTCCCTTGAAAAACGTATTGCACTCACCAACCCCCCCCCAAACAAATAAAAACTTCCATACTGTGGCTCTACTGAGGCCTCTAATAAGCTTTGCCCCTCCTGACCCAAAGACTGACTCACCGCTCCTCCCAGATTCCAATGCTTTTATTTAAAAAACAGGCTACCCCAGACAAATATAACATTCTTGGCTCCTGTAGAATTCAACTGGAGTCTGATTTCCGTTAACTAGTTCCATATTTCCAAACAGAACCTCACCATGCAGAACTCCTTAGATAAACATCATGTTATGATGACACTATCACTGTATTAATATTTTTATACACTCTCCTCTATTACGCTGCAAAAGCCCCAACATCATTGAGAATACTGTCATGGTATTTTTTTTCAATGTAATACCTAATTCCACATATGAATACTTTCTCTTTTTAGGAATTAAGAAGTCTATCTTAAGATAATTTTCAAGGCCACAAATTATACTAAAGATCAGCAAGTCAGAGCCAGATCAAATGCTTTAATCATTATTTTTCTCTACCCGATTGTTACATACTTCTTCAAATAATGCTGTAATATTTTATCATACTGGGTTTTCCCTTTTACATTTATTATTACATTTCTACATTCAGTAGAACTTGGCACCCAACTTTCTTTAGCCTTAGGGCCAGACTTGGTCTTTTTATTGACAAGCCAATGGTTGCACTTCAAAAAGTAGGCAATGATATGCAACAAAATTTAAATTTGATTTAACCACAGTTAAAATTAATTAGAAACAGTTTAAAAAGGTGATAGGTCACGTATCTAATAATCTTCATCTCTTATCACATTAAAAATTACAATACCTGGACAACTTTTGGAGACTTTCTGGCAATTACATCCAAGTGGGGAAGCTAGATATGGCCCATAAGTCACAGATCATCCTCACAAAAATCATGTAAGGTACATTGGATAGAATTGTAATTATTTACTGTTATCACAACATATTAACATGGTTTTTTTCCTTTGTTGTGTTTCTTTCACTTTTTTGTTAAAACACTATGTGGTTTTTTTTTTTCTTCTCAATAACAAAAAATAAATTTTAAAAAATGTAAGGTACATTGGACAAAGAGACAGTGACTCCTCTAAGATAACTCTGTCAATTTAGTGGATGGGTGGGACTGCATCTAGAACTCTAGGCCTAAATTGGTTTATACCAGAAACATGCAACCCTCTAGGTAACTCCCATCAAAACTGGTTATTCCACTGTCACTCAAGATATTATTGCAGGAGGAAAAACTTAAATTAAAAAAAAGACACACAGGAGATTCCCATTGCATTTATTTTTGCAGCAATCTCTAGGTGTCCAGTTTTTAAAGTCTGTTTTCCAATTCAGATCCTTAATGGTTTGTTTTTATTTTAAAGATTCTACTTAGCCTCTGAACTGGAACGTATCGCTGAAATTAAATGCAGACTCATGACCAAAACAGCAGCCCTTTCCTTTTTATCCTCCCTTATGAAGAGTTCTTGGAAACCCAAAGCTTGCACACTATTTTGTGATCCTGAGTTAGCCTAGTACAGTTTCTAATATTTTATGTAATATTCTAATCTGACTAGAGAATTTTGGTTAATTAGCAGCTACAGAACAAAAGAAACCAAACTGCCTTTTTTTCTTTATGGCTAATCCAGCTAGCTTTGCTTTTCTGTTCTTGTTACCAAGAGAAAGGGAGAAAGGGTGAGACACTTGCTACCTCAGCAAACGAAGATGTACAGGCTACAGCTATGTTGGCAGAAAGTAGCTATCGCCTGCCTGTGCCCTGACATACAGGCAGGCAGACATGGCTGAGGAAGGTATGTCCCTTCATAAAATAATTTGCTTATTTAGACTATTAAAGGCAGCAAATCTTAAGGTATTCTCCCACACCAGTTCCTGCAGAAAGAAGCTGGGGTGAGGGAATATATACCAGAAAACAACTCTCCAGCATCCCTCCAACTCTCAGGAACCATATAGAACAAGGCCTGTAGTTTCTAGTTGGAAGGAAGGCTAACATTTTCAAATAAGCCAGAGCCTGGTGCTTTGAGGACATCCATCAGTGCAATAAGTTTGAACAATATGGGTAACACCAAACTGAATGCAGCCCACCAGGTGGCTCAACAAACCTGCCTATCTTGTCCTGCAAACACTGAGGTTGTACAAGTGTTGCATTTGGCTTAAAGCCTTTTCCCCTTGCATCTAATTTCATTTAGCTAATGATACCCCTTAAATCATCCTTAGCTGTATGAGAGATAAAATAATGTTTTCCCTTCTATCTTGATACCGGTTTTTCCATGGACACAAACTGATACACTTCACTGACGATTCTGCTGGTGGCAGGGCCATGTGACCTCCTAGGGAGTGGGATCAGCCCAGTATGTATTAGCCATTTTAGGCTGGTGTGGTCATATCCCATTCCCTCTGCTCCTTGGGCACTATCTTCTAGCACTTTCCTTTTCAAGTAGTGGGAAAACTGGATTTTTTCCCTATACTTGTCAGGTCTCCAAAGGGATCCCCAGCTTGGAGACCTGGGATCAGCCTGAACAACAGCTGACTAGTGGTTGCAGTAGTAGTGAAAACTGCACCATGAAGAAGTAATTCAGGGCACATTTCCCTTCATGCCTGTCAGCTGTTGCTTGGATTGTTTTGAACACAGGATTAATGCCCTTCTGGAAAACTGCTAAAGCTATGTCCAAAAGTAGCCCAAATATCAGCTGATTCTTGGGCTATTTTGCATGTACCCTTATAAAATGTTATGCAGGTCAGTGAGTTCTTCCTCATGGCTGTGTGCTCTCCACCAGTCCTTAAGACAGCAGAAAACTGTATTAGTATAAAGTTAACTGCCTCCACTGGTGGCAAATGGTGCCATTCTTATTTATGTTGTACAGGGCACATTAAGGAGTGCGATTGGTGGATTTTCCCAGCTTTGTTTCCCTCCCCTTCACCAGCTGATGGGTGGGGAACATCCACCATACTCTTAATGTGGACTAGGGCTGGGACAGGAGGTGAGTTTAATGTATGGTTAGACTGCTAGGTTTAGCCCTCTGGCAAAACTCATTCTGGTTTTGCTCAAGTGTTTTGGGAAGCTACATTCAAAGGGAGCTAACCACCATTAAACCTCATTCAAAAGTAGTGTGAACAACAGGCATGGAGACAATTGTGCCATGAAGCAGCACAGGAAAAGAGAAACAGTTTTATCTTTTTTGCTCCACTATACAATCCCACCACAATCGCTGATCAGCCGCTTTTCAGGCTGATCCAGTTCTCTACCCCTAGGATCAGTTTGGAGACCTAGTGAGTAAACAGGTGAGCCCAGTTTGAAAGGCCCAGATTCTCTCACTGTCAAAAGTACAATGACACTTGAAAAGAGTGCCCAGGGACTGAAGTGAAAGAGGTGAACCTATGCTAATCTAAAGTGGTCAATAGGTGCCAGGCTGATCCCGCCCTGTAGGAGCCATTGACCAATAGTTAGTAAAACAAGTCAGACTGTATCCATGGCAAAACCTGTTTGGGAAGAAAACTCTTATTTTAACACTGCTGTGTAAGGAAGGCTTAAAGCTACCTCAGTTAATGGGCCGGGCATCAGCTGAAAATAAAACAGAAAAAGGAGGTTGCCAGGACATGCTTGTGCTATAGATAGCTGCAAGTGGGGAAAGGCCACACTTTGGTCAATGTTGGGCAACTCGTTGCTCTTACGATAATATTCAACATTCTTGATAACTAATCATGCTGGCTATTGCTGACAGATGCTAAAATCCTACATCTGGAAGGCAAGTGCCACATGTTTCCTACTCCTGCTGTGGATTATGCTCCATAAAGGCTATGCTTCCATGACACACTAAACCAGTAACTGCTAACCAACCAGTTTAGCCCAGCCTGTTGCACAAACCAAGGCCACATGGTTCAAAGTGTTATGAAAATGAGATGCTGGGTTAACAGAGTAAACTGTGGCTTGCTTAGTCAAACTGTGGTGAACTCAGCCAATATCTGAAATTCCTGCTCTCAAGGTAATCTACATGTGCTTCTACTTCCAAAGCTCAGGTTACACACTGGTGAAAACAACGCACTCTACACAATCCCAGAGACACTCTTCTGGTACTTTGCAAGTTCCAGAGCTCAAGCCTAGTCCTTATGAGAGTCAAATGCTACCAGAATTTAGGATATCTCCTAAGACAGGCAACAGTCCTTAGCAAACAAGCAAGGTTGTCTTCCACATGCTGAATGGGTGAGGAGAGGAGTGGGAGAAATCACTCTCAGCAAATGGTTATTGTTAAGCTGCCACTATAGGCCATGATGTATGCGACACCAACACACACACTTCACCATTTAACCTTCTAGGGCCAACATGAATAAAAAGGCAGGTGACATTTCCGCTATGTCTTCACGGTGGGGGGGGGGCGGAGGAATGGCTTGCGAGCCTCCTCGAAAACCATCCAGAGGAAACAGGATGGCGGCCCCCCTTCTCACCCATGGAAGGTTCTCCATCTTCCCCCCACCCGGTATGGGTGTGGGGGAGGAAGGGGGAAACGTCTCTCCGCCATCTCCGCGACCGAGAGAGGAAAACAGGAATGGGAGTTGGGAGAAATCGAAAGCTGCCAGCAGCCTCCCCGCTTCAACCCTTTGCCCCAGCCAAAAACGCAGGTTCCCGCTCACTCACTCGCCCACCTCCTCCTCGACTTACAAAATTGTCTCCGCAGCCGTTGTCCGGACATAAGACGTAAAAGGAAACGCCTGGGTCGGCGTAGAAATCCATCCTCCTCTCGGTCTCCTCCGTCGCGATAAGCTCGAAAGGGGTGTTGGAGCACCATTTATCCGCAACGTCAGCCAGCTGCTGGAAATCCATCCTCTTCTGCCCTGGCGGCTGCCTTCAGCCTCCTCCTTCCTCCTCCTCCTCCTCTTCGGTGTATGACTGTATCCGATTCTGCTCCCCTCGCCCGCTAGGAAACCGGGCAATCGGCCCTTCTGTGGGCAGGGGAAAGGAAGGGTTACTGGGGATGCTTCAGGCCAGGCGCCTCCTTTGCACCTTGGGTGGTTGTTGCTGCTTGCTAGCTTAGCATTACTTGGTAACTTCCATGTATTGTTTACATGCTGGGTGTACAAGGCTGGCTCGCTCGCTGTCTCTTCGCCGCCGCCGCCGCCTCCTTTCCCTCTTCAGCGGCCGTCTGACATTGGCTCAGGGCGGCTGCGTTGTGTGTTCTGTGTGGGGGTCATTCGACGGGTGTGGGTAAAAGCTGGATTTTGCCGGATCCTACTGGATTCTAAAGGATCCACCCGTTTCTCCTCAAACCCGAGTCTCTCCTTTAAGCTCGCGAGCCGCATCCACCTGTCCACCTGCTTGAAGGCCCGTCCTACTACCTCGCAGGACAATAATTCTTGAAATGTTCTGCCAGTCTTCTTTAAACGCACACTTACATAAAATCGGATATCTAGGTTCTGAAAGGCCTTGCCAATATTTGCATGACGCTCCTTTTTCTCTTCGTTAATTTTTGGTCCAAAACAAAAGCCAAGTTGGGCCTCTTCTACTCCAGAGCAGTCCAGTGCATTAGAGCCTTGCAAAACCACATTGAGCATTCTGGATCCTGCCAAACCCAGCCAAGGTGGGACTTGCATTCTCAAATAGTGGGATCTGCCCCTGATGCATCTCACAACTAAAAATGTAAGAGTGCTCTTCTACAATTACACTCTAAATTCTGTAACATTTTTTTGATCCCAGTTCTTGAAAAATATGTGCAGTCCAGCCTTACGCCTTTTTATGCAGAAGTCACTCCCTCTATATTTGAACAGCATTTAATTATTCCTGTCTAAGACTGCATTAGATTCCAACTCTAACCTCATAACTCACAGGCCAAAGTTATTCTGGTGAAAAAACACTGCAAATAATGTCTTCTAGCAAGGAATATATTTGTTTTATTTGTATGTTTTTCTTGGTAGTGTATTCTAATAGAAGCAAGGCAAACATACAAGTTCTTCTGGGCAGAAAAATGAGTTAAAAGTGCAGTGTGCTAACTTGGCAGCCAACGTGTGTAAGTGAACTACAACTTCTAGTAACAGAACAGGATTAGCTAGTCAATCTCTTCCCCCACTGGTCTGCCCCTGCAGTTGATCAGGAGCCACATAGATTGCCTGCCATGTCCTTTCAGCCATCTTTACTAAACATGATCATGATGGTTTGTAGGTGATTATTTATTACCATGTTTTATGATATGTTTTATGTTTTTTATTACATTAACCGCCAGGAGTCCTTGGTGTTTATGGCAGTATAAAAAAACTAATGGATGAATAAACATCATTTGAGATAGTCCCCTCTGCAACTGGGCACTGTTACTAGGAAGAAAATAATTTTAGACTGTTCAGAGCCATAATACACTTGAAGGGACTTTTTGAATTGTCTTTCTTGGAATTTTTCTATCTTAATTTGGGCAGAAACCTGCCAGTGTACTTTTAGGGTATTTGGCCTCCTTCTAGATTGTGTTTTAGTGATTTAGTGATTCTCAAACCTCCTCTTCCCCGTTGCTGAGGAGCACACAGGGCACTAGCATGGTTAGAGCACTTCCAATGTGGCATTTGCCCTCCTCCCAGAAATACTTGGAAGCATTGAGGGCACCTCCACAGGGCACCTGCACCAAGTCACCCTCCGGGGGAGATAGGCGGCATATAAATTTAATAATTAAATAAATAAACATTCTGGATTGGCTGTGCATCTACTTAATCACATGCCATCATCTTTGTGGGCAGCATAGCTGATTCATTTCTGGCTCCACTACAATACAAAAAGAACGATTGGAAGTACAGTTCTGCAGTTCAAGCTTGGGGGTAGCTGGTTTTTCATTGGAAGAAATGACCACCTCATCACATCATATCTTCCCCATTCCATATCTGCTAAGCCACCACAGCACCATGCTATCTTTGTGCTGGTTTTTTTTTCCCCATTGGGACAAAGAAGCAACCCTCCCAGCAACTGATCATTTTTTTAATTGCCATGAAAATACAGAGCAAGGACAGGCATGGGGAACTTGGTACATGCCAGTATTATGCTTCCCCCTGTTGATCAGCTGGAGGAAGCACTTGTCAGCTCACTGAGAATTGGAGTTGCTATGATTTATTTATCATATTTATATAGCTGCCCATCTCACACAAGGTGACTCTGGGCGGCGTACAGCAATTAAAAAATAAATACATAACAATTACACATAAAAAACTGTAAAAATATTTATTTATCACATTTATATAGCCGCCCATCTCACACAAGGTGACTCTGGGCGGCGTACAACAATTAATAAATATATAAAAACAATTACACATAAGAAACATATGATGATGGTAGTGAGGCCAGAAAATGATGGTTATAAAGAAGTACCCTTAGTAAACTTTGTGTATACATCAAAGCATATTTTATTTACATTTTATGCTAATTATTTCTTCAGCATCAGCATCAAAACCAATTTATTAATAAAACAATTGGCCTTGTGGGAAGGTCTAATTAATCTGCCTGCTAATCTAGCAAGGTTAAAATGCCTTTGCTCTCCCTCATCAGAAAGAAAGAGTGTGGGTTGGATATTCTTCATAATATTGCAACTTTTCTTTGGATTATCTGTACAGTATGAAGCTTTCAGACTATTGAGTAAGAATCTTTGTCCTAGTTCATACTGTGAATGTTTTCCTGCATCTAACTACTGTATTCTATGAAGTATTAGGATTTATAAAGTAAACCTGTGCAGGGACCTCTAGTGGTCTCTGTCAGTACACCAACAATACAATCAGGTGACAAGATGAACCTAGAAATTTCCACAGACCAGGCTAGCTGGCTGGCTATCGCTCCCATCTTTTCTTTTTTGCACTCCCCAGTACACTATTGCAACTTTTGAGTTGTGAGAACATTAGAGATCCCGTGAGCCAGGTGATATAATATTTCAAAACATCCAGAGCAGTAACCTACAGTCAAGCCACAAGACATTCTAATCCTAGTTTATATGTTGGTTATTCATGGCAACCTCAAACAATAATGCAGGAACTGTTTGACAGTTGTGCATATATAAACTCAGTGTTAGAAAAGTGCTATAAAATGTTTGGGTCTCTAATACTGGAATTAAGTCTTCTGTCATTGAAAAAATGCAGTAAAACCCAACAGGTACCTTTTTCAGGGGCCTCTCTGTGTTCCTCCAGCCAGTTAATAGATGACAGGAAGCAAGAATGCACAGGCCATAGCTGCTGTAACTTACCTACAAGCTAGACCAACTTCCATATAATTTTCAATCAAAGAGGCCAGAAACATATTATCAAAATAGAAAGGACAAACAAGTTGTATACATTTGCTTATGGTAAATGATTTTTATAGCTAAAAATTTAGAAATAATTTCTGTCACATCAGTAGAATTACATATAAGCTATGCTGATAAGGAAATTTGTCTGGGTGTCCTGTGCTCAGTCAGATGTCATGGTGCTAACTGTTCAAGGCCTCTGCTCTCTCTTGTTATCCTTTCTTATCTTTAAACAGGGCTTGGGCTGGACTGCTGCTCAGGCAGAGGACACTTTATGTAAGTTAGACTGGGGCTTAGTACTTACTTCTTTTCAAGCTTCATTTTTTAGCCAGAGCAACCCAGTTCCTGCAGATCAACATTTGAATTCGAGGCAGGTTAGAGATCATCTAATAATATTAACAAAATGTTTAATTAATTTTATTTCTCTTTCCTCAAAGCAGCAAATGGGAATCTCCATTAATTTTAACCACCTTTTCAGGCAGATTTGCATATCACACTAAGCCATGGTTGGTTGAATGTGGTTTGCTGTATAACCCACTATTAGTTTGGGTTATGAATCACATTAAGCCATGAATCATGGTTTACAAACCATCTGCTCGGTCAAAACCAGCGAAACTGTTTTATGGCTTAGCACCGAAATAAGTTATACCCTGAACTGAAAATAACTTGGCCTCAAATGTTTAATGGTGATGGGCTGAAAAATAAAGAAGGTCTGTTTTTAAACTTGCGGGCTTACTTTAATATAAGACCATAATCTGAATCTCAGTACTGATAGCAGTTGGTCTTGGCAGCAGTGCCAAGATAGGCTCGCTTTGCCTACAAACCAATTATAATGAAGGAAAAAAATGAGCCTAGATTGCAGATAATGCTTATGGATCTTATATAAACTCATTTCTGTACTGTATATGAGTCCATATAGGATGTTCTAATTATATAATTCCAATTAAATTTGCTGGAGAAAAAAAAGCAGATTGGGGGTTTGCCTATTTATGAATCATTCCCTCTCAAAATTACAAGCCCCAGATCTCTCCAGTTTATGTTGACATTTCCTCTGCCCAAGCAGGAAGGCTCAACAGAGAGGCAGCTGGTGAGCAGAAGAAAGAAGAGGAGATCCCAGGACCAGTTAGAGCTAGTGCCGCCAGACATTTTACAGGCCTTTCAATACGTAGAATTAAAATGAACTAGGCCTAGCATAGAACCGTCACTAGTTTTCACAGGCAGATAACCACAGGGAAGAAAAGTGCAGTCCTGTTAATTTCAGTGGAATTTGCACCCTAATCTGCACAGTATTACAGATCATAGAACTGCCATTTACCTATAGTCAATTTATGGACAAGCTATTTTTCAGTGTCTGTAGAACTTTCACTTAGTCAGTTGTTTGATATATCCCCGTTCCATCACATGAATGTATTAGTCAGAAACAGACAATGCTATTTTCAAAAAACGCTACTGTGGCTTTTTCCTCCAATCTAAATATCAGTCAAGAAAAGAAAGAATCCCAGTTATGATTACTGTGAAACAAAACTAAACTCCTTAGCACAATCCCAATTCATGTCAGTACTGAACTGGAATCTGCTTTTATTTAAATTGTCTTTTAATGCCTTTTTAACTGATTAGGCAGTAAAAAAGAATTAAAAGAAGCTCTAAGGAATATATATATATATATATGAATATATATATATATATATATTCAGCAGAAGCCTTTTGCCAGAAGAGATCAGTTTTCAAATCAGTTCAGGAATGGAGAGGGTAGTAATTTTATAAGCATTTTTTGAACCCAGAGAAATAATGCTGTTTTGCCTCTGAATAACGTAACTGCTTCAATGTAGATATTATAATCTAAATATGTAATAAATGGTTGCGACTATTTTTACCGTGTTTTGTAAATTGGAAATGTAAAGATGCACACATTCATGCGGCCCTAAACTCATGTTGTGATTTCATTCTGCCAGCCACCAAATATTTTACCTGTCACTTCAGGATTTTGGCCTCAGGTTATGTTTGCTAACATCTGTTTTTGTTGAATAAACCAGATATTGAATAATGGATTTTTAAAAATGTTTTCCTTATTTTCATTTCCATATTTTTCTCCAGGGATGGGCAATTTATAAGCTGTGAGTCATATAACTGTAGCCAAGAATACCTGCAGATGCATTGAAAAAATATAGGGACAATTCACCTGATTTTGAACAGCAAAAAGCTGGGAGAAGGGTTATGAAAAAGGTGAAAAAAGATGTGCCTTTATGCACACCTTTTTTCTCTTTAATCCCCCAACTCCTTCAAAGGGAGAAAAATAAGGTGATGTTATTATGTCTATGAATCCCTGCAAACTTGGAACCAAAAATGTTCTTTTAATAAATGTAAGTTGAGGACAATTTTTTTTTTCCTTGCCCAATGAACTTTTCTGGTGCCACCCATGACTTGTTTAACCCTTCTGGTCTTTGCCTCCTGTTCCTAGCCTTCCTCAAAGATTGTATCTGGAGAATGCAATTTGTGATCATCGCAGTTTGGTAGCAGTGTTTGGACTACTGTAAAACCTTAACCTCATTAATAAGTCACACTGAAAGTGATGGGGCATATTCTGTAATAAAGTTAGACAGTAGGTAGATTTAGAATGTAGTAATTGTGTAATTGTTAATTTTATTATACGGTAAATGTTTTGTTGCTTTTGTGTAATTTTAATTGCTATTTAATTTTTTTTTGTTATTTTTTTACTGCGGTTGCATCATTCCTGGGTGAAGGATGCATTATAAATAAAATTCTTATCTGTTTGATTTCAGAGCTCCTCTGCATCAAGCCAATTATATGCAGAGTACACAGAGAAGGCTTCCACGGTAGGTTTTACTCTGAAACAGCACATTTGTTCCCTTGCTATTCCTGGGGCATCTAAATGGTAATGTCATAAAATGATTGCAGTTTCTGCATTCCCTCAGTTTATCCTACCTCTTTCTAGACTTAAAAAAATATTATACAATGTCTGCAGCTGACTAGTCACTGTGCAAAAATAGCTTGGATTTCCCACAAGCATCACCTCCATTGGAACTGGATGTTTGAGTAATAGATTTGCTGCTACAAAGTACAAGATACTTCACAGATCTTAATTCAATCCCAGCTAACTGCAGCATGATCTCCATTCTTCTCATATATCATATGTGTTCAGCAGGAAAATTTCATTCTTTGTAAGTGTGTGCATGCACCATTTTAAATAACCATTGGCTATTAGCAACCTTGTCCTCTAAATTATATTGAGTGGGATTTGCTCTGACATAGGCATGTATAATATCTTACAGAGAATCCATAATATCAATGCCACAAAATGTGAATTGCACAGGCACAAGTGATGTTTTTTACAGTTTTAATAACTGAGAAAAAGTTTGTTTGCATAAAACTTAATTTCCCATCACTCTTATAGACATGCAGATTATCTAAAGGCTATAATTATTTTTCAGGTTAGTTTTTCCTCTACTACATTTTCATAATAGCTCTAAATGTGTTGATTGCATGGAATCTCAAGATTAGTAATGCATTAATTGTTTTTAAAATATGCACATTAATTTATTTCTCTTTTTAGCACTATTTTAAAAATAAAAGCCATTTCCCTTTCTTGAGATACAGATGAACCCCAATGCTAACTTTTTCAGGTACAGCTGTTATTTGTAGCCCAACAGGTCACTGGTTTTTAGGAAAACTACATTTATGATTGAGCAAACAGATCTTATCATTAGGTGGTTGTTTCAGGACTGAATGATGGGAGGCAGAGAGCAGGGATGAGGTCTCAGGAGCTCAAATGTGTATGTTCTTCAGGTGCACTGAAAGATGTTGCTCCACTGTTGGTGATGAAGTGAGATTCAGAGGCTGGGAAGTTGTGTGTCCTGCTCCTCCTCCTCATGAATGGGAATAAATAAATAAATAACTAAATGGACAATCCACAGTGGCCCAATCAGAAGTAGTGAGGTTGTGGATAAAATTGGGTGGGTGGGTCTTATCCACATCCACCCCCTTCCAACACATATGAGACCACAATAGGGGAGGAGGAAAAGCGAGTGCAGAGTGAAGCCTCATTTTGTGGAACCTCTCTAGGAATTCATCGTTGTTTCAGAAGCAGAGAGAGGTGGTTAATGCTTCATTAATTCCCTCAACGTTGCTTGTATGACAGTTAACTGGAAGGCATTAGTTTGAAGCTAAAACTAACTCCCTTCAAGTAATTTATATGGTTAGTACAAGCATTGCAAGCCAGTGTGTTGTTGAACAGAGCCATTGAGTTTGCAGCTCTTCCTCCTTTTTTGATTGTCAAAGTTTTTGCCCACCAGTGAGTTTTGTGCATCAATTGATTATGTCCAGTTGTTTCAGATGACTTGCACTTTTTTTCCCTGTCAAATGAGTTTAAGGTTATCGATTGATGGTTGACAGTTACCTCCATGTATTTATGTAGCCACACCATAATCACAAGGATATTGCACCAATTGATTATGTTGGCAGAGGGCAAAAACTTTTTGGACATCAGATTTTAACACTAGTGGTGGGCGAAAAAGAAACAACACCTAATCTTTGAGATATCTTTGACAAATGAAGGACCTTTTTCAACTCTAAACTGGATTTCTGCATTGCACTAAAACCTGGTTTGTTTCACAGTACATCAGCCACAGTGGGGCTAGGTTTACACAGCACAGTAAGTCAGCTAGATGGATGTGTGTGCACATGCATTTTGTGAACCAAATTTTCTTGTCTCACATTAAATGCAAGTTTATATATTGTGACTCTCATGACCTACCCCAACCATTAAAATTCATAGGAACCTCTAAGTGCTCAAAACCTCCCAATCCCTCTCCCCGTTCCTATTCTGCAGGAGTGCAGAAATTCTTTTAGGCTGAGGAGCATGCTGGGCCTTTGAGTGGCATATCAGATAGGAAAACCTAAAGTGGATGGAGTCAAGATAAAAGTGAAAACTGGTTTAATGAAAATAATTAGAATAAGTACAGTTAAGTATCCCTACCTATTTAGTAATTTCCATCTTGTATCACATTTAGAAGCACTGTCTAGAAAGGCTATGGGTCTACTAGACAAGGCTAGTAGGTAGGGCCAGCAGCACGCAAGCTTAGGACTGTAGAAAAAATGTGGGAATGTTCAGCAGGAATGTACCATCCATTATTAGGAAAAGTCTGCCAGTCTAGTGTGAAGAGCTAGTATGCTAATTACAGCTGCTTTCTGAAATTTATGGAAAATGTTGGTATTTGTTAATGAGTGAATCATGCCATCTTGATCAAAGGGCAATATAACTATAATAGAGTCTTTTTTTGCAAGATGGGCGGTGACAAATTTGATAGATAAATATTGTAAAATCTACCATGTGCATGCTGCAAACCTGTAACGATCCTTCCTTTGCCAGGAGCATGTTTATATGTGAGGTTGTGCATTCATGTGTAAATAAGGCTACTGAGTAACAATCCTCTATATGGATAAGGTATCCAAACCAATGGCCATAGTACTGTATATGTATAATTGTATTGTGTAAAACCGTATAAGGGGTACTACGATCAAAACAGGCCAGGTGAATTCTAATATGAGAGAAACCTCTGTTACAGTTGTTTGTACTGCTGAAGCTTATTTTTTTATTTAAATAAAACTTTTAAAAGAAAAACTACAAAATGTTACAAATAATATAATCTAATTTACAGAAATATAAACATACATGTGTAGACTGATGATACAAATATATCTGAGGCAAAATTGCATCAAAAATAATGTATTATACATCTTAAATTCCATTTCACTCCTATTTTTATTCTTTTAATACTTGAACAGTTGAACACTTCAGCTGTCTCAATAGTCCTGCTGTTAAATCACATATTGTGCCACATGAATCACAAAATTCCTTTTAGGAATCACAACAGCAGCTCCTGTGCAAATGGTATGGTCTGTGAACACTTTGGATGCACTTCAGCCCTTCCTCACCTGTTAGGAGTATTTCTTTTCCTTCAGGTTACTATTTGCGTGTCTCTATAAAATAAACCAAATTCTATGATAAAGTATATTTTAAAAAAGCCGTAATAGATTAAGCTGACTTTTGAGGAAGTACGCAGAAGACTGCAGCCTTGCAGCCATACTGATATTTATATATTTATTAACCAGAACCATTTCTCTTTAGTCCAAGTTATAGAGTACCAGGACTTGACCTTGCAACACTAAGAAAAAAACAAACCCTGTTCTGAAATTTCATCAAAACTAATTTTTGTAGCTTTAATGGCATACAACTTGCCAAAGGAAAAATGAACAAACATTCCCCAATGTTCTGAATTTGGGCAGTCATGAAAGGCTCACAGCCCTGATCATACGTCTAATGAGTATTACTCCCCCCGCAAAAGATTATTTCTCACCTCCCAGAAAGTATAATCATGCTCATTTCCCTCCATTTGTTTGTTAGCTCTAGACGAGCAGTCTTCTTAAAATTCATATTACAATTGAGAGCTATTATGGCATTCAGATCTTTGACTTATGCCAGTCAGTTTCAAACTCTGACAATTGCTACTGCTGCTACATGGAGCAAGAGGGACACAGCTGTTTACTCTGCCAGCTTGCCTCTTAACTCTTTGTTTCTCACGTTTGTCACTAAGTATGACATCATTTCTTCAGCCTACTGAGACTCATGCTTTTGCACTGGCATCTGAAGCACTCTGCTGCTTGTGCGGTGCAAAGTGGCAGAATCTTTGACAGAAAAACTAGATCTGGTCTCAACTCAAGGCACTTTATTCCAGTAACAATAGTAATAATATTTGTCTGCTTAGTCTGTTTATTAGACCAAGAGAAACTTAAAATAAAGCCACATATTTTACAGATATTCCATTACTCATTATCTCAAAGCCAATCTTGATAATATGCAGCCAAAATTGTAAGAGATTGCTGGACAGTCCAACATTTCTTACCAGAGTTGATTGCAAGCTACCAGCTGACTCTCATACATAGACTACTCAAAAAACATTTTATACATTAATAATTCTAAAATATAGGTGCATAACTATAGATATAGCAACTTAAACCAAATTAAACTAGGAAAATAATTTGGGATTTTGTACCTCACAGAAATTCACTCTCAAGAGATAACAATATTTTATTGGTGAAAGAACTTTTCTGCATTAATTTTCTGCTTTTTATTGCAAATAAATGGGTTAGGTAGTATTTAGTACACATCATGTACGATGTATAAAATGGCTTATAAGGAAGCAATATGTGAAGAGTTATTTCTGCTTCTAACCAAAACAGCTTGACAGGTGAAACTGATCAGTTTTGAAATAAAAATCTGATATGTCATGGCTAGCATTTGTTCCAAGATGCAACATGAAACAATATTTTTGTTACCTCTTTATCAGAAGATTCAGACCTTATCACTCCACTGCTATATGCACTAAATATTAGAAAACAAGATAAACTTACAAGTATCATTTCTATCCACAGAAATGTTATATACTGTACCTCACACATGTATTGTGATGTTAATTTAATTGTGTACCTCATGCTTGGGAACATGAAGCACTAAATAATACTGGCTTCTTCAATACATATAGATAGCAGATATAAATATGAGATTTGGAATATCTGCATAAATAAGATGGAATTTGTATGTCTTTTATTTGCACACTCAAAAAATATGAACTTCCTGAAAAAATAAAAAAGCCCTAGTGAATCCTTACAACTAAGTTCACAACTAGTCTTTGAGAAATTCTGTTAGCCAGCCTGCTCATAGATACCTCTGACAAGTGTTTTATAGTATAAAATATTTTCAGGAGAGCCTGGAAAAAAAGGGTGTGTGTGGGAGTGGGATAGTTTTCTTCTAGATGCCTTGTCCTTGCCACAAGGCAATTTTTATTCACCTCAAATATCCAGACATGTGTCAATCTGTAACTCCGCTTTAAGCTTAAGAAATCTAGGTGCAATCATTCTTATTCTGATACCTCACTGAATGTCAAATTCTGTTTCTTTTTAAAAGCAGTCGACATCTACCTTACAGATAACTTTTGCTTTAAATTTTCAAGGGACTAGAACTTTTTTAAAAGCAAGAATCATATTAAAGTACATCAAGATTATAATCTTTTACAGGTTATGATGTATCAGATGTTAGAAGACAGATCTCTGTTTTAGATTAACATTATTCACACTTACTGAAAAAATTAAAAGAATGTACTACAACAGACATAATTTATACAGAGAGAAAACAAAGGATAGCTTTGCTCCAGGAATATTTGTTGTCCCCATTCAGGTCACATAATGTTAACAATTTTATTTATATAGCTAGGTTCCAGTAAGTCAGCTTCCACTTTTGCATTACTCCTCATTAAATCTGCATCTTTATATATTTGCAACAGGAAACCAATGCAGAAAACATATTTTAATCATCGCTGTCACTCCCAGATTCACTCAACTGCAAGTCATTTCCTGTTGTTAAAAAAAAGAGAAAATTTTCTTAATTCCCAATTACGTTCTACACTGATGAATTGTGAAATGTTAGATATCAAAGACACTGAGAACAAAAATAGGCAGCAATTCTGTAAGAACGTTAAACTCCAAGTGGATTAGTTTCTGGTATCTATATTTTAGACTGCAGTTCTATTATTCCTCTGTTACCCAGTGTTCTTTGGCATAATTCATTAGAAGTCCAAATGTTGCAATGATCACCTGTGCAAATCAGGAGCTCATAGCTTTCTTTCTTTAATATTTCATGTTCAACTAGGGTTTAGTTTTATTTGCTCCATTGCAGACTTGATCTGGTAATGGGACTTTCAACAAACATGAACTGAAGCAATTGCATGCACTGCTAGCCTCAGTTTCTTTACACTAAACCTGGATCAGTCTTATACTAGACCAACAACAAGTGCCCTAAGTTGTGAGGCCATGGTGAATAATGCAAATCAGCACTATCTATAGAAAGAACCATGAAGTAAAGATACACTGATAAGTGTACAAAGTGAAAAAAATGAAGCATGTCCTGGGAAAAGGAAAATAAGTGTTTCCAACAGAACAGAATATACGTAGCTTAGGGTTGAACTGTAGAGTCCTTGGTGCTCTCTGAAATTGGTTGTTTCCTTGCAGATGTAACAGCTATGTAGAACAGACAGGCAGAAGACTAGCAGAGAGCATCCATGAACACCAATTAGCAGTCAGAAGACACAATGAAAACTCCTTAATCTCACAACACATGGACAGACTCAACCACAGTTTCAACTGGGAAACTGTGAGCGTCCCAGACCAAGCTAAATCCACAAATACTAGGGAATTCTTGGAAGCTTGGCATTCAGACAATCAGCCATCAATAGACACATAGAGATAAACCACATCTGCACACCATTCAAAAGAGACAATAAAAAAAGCTGAGAAGGAAACAAAAAGACCAGAACACATCCTCTCTAGCAGCCTACACCTAGATAGGCAGGGATTAACAGCAGACAAACAGTCAAGCAAAAGAGAATACCCTAATCAAGGAACTACCAAGGAGAAAACCTCACCAACACTGGCAGGACAAGCTACTGTATATAAACAGGGAGCAAACCCCACGCTCACTCACACTGATGATGTTACCTAGTTGGGTAAAACAGGGAGCAAACCCCACGCTCACTCACACTGATGATGTTACCTAGTTGGGTAAAACAGGGAGCAAACCCCACGCTCACTCACACTGATGATGTTACCTAGTTGGGTAATGAAACATCTGCAAGCAAACAACCAAGCTCAGAGACACCAAGGACTCCACAGAAAACAAGTGTGTTGGTGAGTAATGTGTACAAGTGTCCCTTGTTATCTGCAGTCTCACATCCACAATTGATGATAGGAACTAAGCCTTGGTATACTTGTAAACATTTTCATATATGCAAAAAGTTTTTGCATGCTACTTTACACATGGCAAAATATCAGACAGGCTTTTGTGCATGTGTAAAATATATTTTTGTAAGGATTATGTCATCTATGCAAAATGCCTATACTTGTTCTTCCTCCCTACACAGTTGCAGCCTGATTGTGAGGTTCCAACTAGCTTCCTTGTGGCGGCTTGGCACTTATCTCCTTTCAAATGACTTCCCTGGCTGATGATGGGAGTTGCCCTTCTTGCACCATGTGGCTTATGCTGACTTCTCCACTGCCTGCAGCTTTTTCAGGATCTTTGTGGAACAGCCTCTTAAATGTGCTATTGGATGCTCATCCTGTCCACATATAATCTGTGACTTACTCTGATTTCCACAAGTGGTGTGTGGGCAGCACTAACATTCAGCACTGTGACAGAAATTGACACAAGCAACCTGCAGGTGGCATCAGCATCTTGTGGGGCTTCTGAATGCTAGTACTGCTTACAGATTGTTCCCATAGTAAGTCACTCCAAAGGCGGCCAGTTGTCCCAAGCAACTGGAGCCTTGTGACTGTGCTGACCCAGTGAGATGCATCTCAATTGGGCATGAAAGAGGAGTGAATACAAATAACTACACAGCCAACACCTATGGGAGGAGGAGGTCAACCACAGGCTCTGACACTTAACCCCCCAATTCCCATAGATGAAAAACCTTGTTATGCCAGTTTTATCCCCCAGGAATAATGAGGACAGTCTGTACTTAGAGCAGCCTTCTTTAACATTATGTCCTCATGATACCTTGGTCTATAGTTTTTATAATTCGCAGCTTGCACTTATGTTGTATGACAGGTGCTTAGTGAAGAGAATAAACTTACTGAGAGTATTCATGAGCTGATTGTTGCCTTGTGCCCTGCCAGTACCATTGGCAACAGTATTCCTGTTGTTACACTGCTGAGAAGGGGAAGGATGTGCAGCTTCACCATCATCACTGCTGGAGGTTTCATCATCACTCCCAGAGGAACTTTCAGAATCAGATGAACTACTGCCACTACTGCTACTCATCTGCTCAATAATTTCAACCTCAGCTCTTAGTTCTAGAGTAAAAACAGGAGAGTCAATTATTTATTTTATTTATTCATTAAAAAGTATAGCCTGCTTTTTCTCAAGAAACTCAGTTATCTACATAGCACTTGTCCCTCCAATTCTGGTTCTCTATGTGGTTGGTTTTGCTGGGAAAATGTAACTAGTTCAAAGTCACTTAGTGAGCTCCTTGTGTAAAATATATATTTAACTTAACTATAATGCCCCATTGGTTCTCAATTATTTAGCATACCCCAGACAGCCCATGGTTTTAAAAGATGTAATAGCCTTAATTAAATTAGATTTGCTTTTAAAAGTTCTTTATCTTTATAAAAGTTCTCACTTTTATAGTGAAAAACTAATATAATTGTGAGGTGGCTGGCTGGTGATGGTTATAAGCTGTGATCCTGCCACTGGAAAAGTATATTGAAGGAAGTGCAAAGGGGGAAGTGATAGATTTTCCTCCCATCTCAGACAGTAGATAGGCTATAAGTTTTCTACCTCTCTTAATATCATCCAATTGAGGCTCTGGTGAAGGATTGTCTTTCAGTGGGGAAGTTTTAGGTCCAGCTGCAGGCTTTGTTGGAGCTCTGAACTGGGTGGAAGAAGATTGTGCAGCTCGAGCAGATTGCTGTTCTATCCGGGCCTGGATTTTACTGCTGCCTTCAGCTCTGAAAGAAAATATTTACAAACATATACAAACATGTACAATATTGTACAAAATATTGCACAAACATGTACAATCTGTAATCTGCTAATTCCATAGCTTATCATAGCCTTACTGTATTTTGAGCCAAGTTATTTCATTATTTTAAGGGGAAAAAAACCAACCTCCCATTGCTTTCAGTGCAGGGAAATTATCAATGCCAACTCCAATCTAGTCCTGGGATCTCTTTTTCAAAGAACCTTTATATTCTAGTGTATCCAAATAGATTGTCTCTGCTCCACTCCTGCCTGCTCCAAAAATATCAATTCTGTTGGCTACTCTGCCAATTACAATTAAAATACTAGTGGTGGTGAATTTATGTCTGTGGAGATTTCTATAGGTGTAATTGTGTCCTCATGCAAATGTCTACCCCTCATATTGCTTCTCCTTTCTGGCCATGGAGAAGAGCTCTTCCAATTCTAATCCTTCTTGCGTAGTTGAAGGAATTAGGATTGGTACAATATCTAATTTCTATTTTCTCATTTTTCCTGATCTTCATATCAAATCTGAAATCAGAATTGTGTAAATAAATAACACTAATATACCATTTATTGAAATGCTAAATTCCTAATTCTCTCAATTGGAGAATGAAAATTAAGCACCAGCTTAGCTTTCCCAAGGATTTAATTTTTAAAAGTTGAAAACATTATCTAGATCATTCCTCTGGTAATCTTACCAATAATTGATAAAAATCAGTGATGATTCAAGTTCTAATATGGAGAGAAAGCATCTTGGATAGACGTAGAATAGCCATATCACTTAAGAGTAGAGGTTCGAGACTACTAGACTAGCCTTCTTCCTATCATTCTAATATTTAATGTTTATTATCATTATTTTATATAGGCAAGATAAAAAAGCATGTGATGGAAGAAATAGTTTACTCCAGAAGGAATTATATTATGTGCTGGTCCATATTGGCTTCCCATGTTTGTGCCTGTTTTACCTTGTCTTTTTGACTTGAATGCTGCTGCTTAGCTTTTCAAGCACATATTCCCCAGTATCATGGTTGATAATAAGCACACAGTCTTTTTGGTAAGGCCTTTTGTTTCCTTTGAATACAGTCATTGGAGGTGTAGAACCCTGATGTTCAAGGAAAGTAAAGAATATATTTAAATTTAAACAAATATTTATGCTCAGGCCAAGAAAATCAGATATAATAAATATCATATTCAATGTCTCAAATCCAGCCTATCAAATTATGCTTTAATAGGTCTCTTCTTAACATTTTCAACCCTATGACAGTTATTGCTATATTTATAGATCCAAGGAAGAAATCACCATATTTACTCTGGCAAAATTATTATAGGTATAGAACCTGATATTTAAAAAAAAAAAGATTTATTCACTTACTCATTTACCAATGAAATATTGTTTTCATACCATGCCTGCTACATTCTAAATAGGACAAATATGCTAATATTCATGTAAAAGAAGGGAGAAACATCTGATATCAGAAATGACAATGCTCATAAACCAGTTGAGAAACATCTGTTGTTTTTGCTACAACAGACTAGCATGGCTAATTTTGTGAATATAAACACGTCATATTAAATATTCTTCTCTGTGGAGATAGGTGATGCAACAGAATATCTTATTTTATAGTTCAGAATACCTCATAGTTCATAAAGAAGTCAAACAGAAAGTTTAGTTATGTCTAAATATCTAGAAGAAACGTATTGTCAATGTTATTTATATTCAATATCACTATGTTTAAATATGTTTTACAAAACATAATGCAGTTCTAGAAAATTTGGAAGCATTACTTTATGATTCCTTGAACTGAGTTTCGATGCACATTTGGAGTTTATATAGAGCAAAAATAATATCAGGCAATGAAAGTAGCCAACCAGTGTTTTAAATCAAATATCTATATGGAAAGAGTTGCCAGAGAGAGAGAGACAGACAAACTTGCACCAGGCTGGTTATCGCAGCTGTGCCTGCTCTAAAAAATAATTCTTCAAAGTGCTACAGACCTTATAAACACAAACTCATCAAAACAGGCACATCTTTATACAGGTTCCACACAAGCCTGAAAAAAGACAGTGCTGCTTTACAAGTCCAGTGTAAAGATGCATTATGTTCATGGTTTGATTCATTAAAGCAGCAGCATCTTTCTTCAAGCTTGCCTGGAAATCAGAGGTGCATATTTTAATGAATAATAAAAAGCTGTGTTTGCACTCAGACCAAAACATTTCTTTTGAATCATTCTGAAAATATGCACAGCGTACTCAATACACTGTTGTCAAAAAATGGCGATCTCCTCTTAAACAACCCTTAACTCTTACAAATTGTTTTTATGAAGTATATCATCTTCTCCTATGAAAAGTTCAGAGCAAAGCTCATAAGAAGCTTGAAATAGAAGAGAAATCTGCAATATGAGACATGTTAAACTTACAGGAATATGTGGTAATGTAATTGTGACTTCATCTCCTTTACCAACTTGAAGCTCCCCCTCACAAGACGTATCTATAGATGCTGGTTTAAAATCATCTAGAGAAGAGAATAACTGATGTTAAACATACATCAGATTTTAAAGAATGTTTGATTAGTATCCATTTAGAGCCTATCTCCCAACTGTAATACTATTTTATTCTTTTAATTGGCATTTAAATAATTTTAGAAGGGAGCTTATTAGAGTTGATGTGCAGATAAGAATTAAACTGAATTAGCATATCATAATTTTCTTCTGCAATTAGCTCTTTCTTTCATTGTTAGTCAATAACACAAAGGACTCTTTGGCAGATGATATAGCATACTTCAATTTTTTAAAAAAGCTATTGTCTGCTATTAAAGAAATTTAAAAAAATCAAAAGCCTTGATTATTTTATTTCCTTGGCCTACCATTTTTTTTTGAAATTCCATCTATAAGGCCAGTTTTTTTTTTTTTTTTAAAGTGGCAATCCTACAAGTAAGTGGTCAACTGTTCCACCTTTTCTCTAGAAATAACTATTTCCAGGTGACACTCTCTGCCTTATTTTGGGAGCACAGAAAGTTGTTAAGAATGTGCTAAAGACTGATTCTAGCTATGAAACAAAAGGTTTTTATTATGGTCCTTGTCTCCTCAACAACTCCAAAGGTGGTTACTAATGTAGGCCTGGCCTGCATCTCTTCCTTTAATAGTAGCCTCATACAATACAGTCAGCATCATAGAGTAAGCCTCATCATTTGCTAATTACTGGGTAGTCTACTATTAGTAGCCCAGGGTAAAAAAAAAAGACTGGCAACTCTGGATGCACAGAGTTTGCATTGACAGCAGCTACCAAAGGCACAATTCTTTTCTGATTCTCCAAATGGACATTAATCAAACAATATCGAACAAGCAGATGAAGGCCATTAGCTTTTACATCAAGAACACAGAAAAGTAATCTGCCCAAGTGGAATCTGCCATAGAATAAAACACGAGAGATTGCCAGCTTCTTAAACTGGTCCCTGTAACAATATGATTAGTAGCAATTACTGTACATTCAACTGTACAACATAAACAGTGTTATCTGCTGATTTCTGCATCTTGGACTTCACAGAAGAAGACTAGCTATTTCTGTGAGCACCCCCACCCTTAGGAATAGAAGAGCCAACTGGTTTTTTTTAATTAGCTGTACTCCTGTGCTATTAAAAGTATTTATAATTCCTAATTGCATTTCTATCTTGCCTTTTTTCTGGGAGCATAAGACAGCATGCTTACTTTACTCTTACTTTATTTCCACAACAACCTTGTGGGATGAGCTAGGGTACAAAAGAATGACTGGCTCAGAATCATTCATCAAGCTCCGTGATTGGAGACTTGAACTAATACCTAGCACCTTAATCATGACATTATACAATAAAAATTGGTTTTAATGGAATAATTAGAGAGGGGGGCATTTGTTAAATATGAATGCCCATATTTGTCATTTGTCTGTTATTATGCAAAATATGTCATCTGGGCCATATTACATTTATGTGATTATTACACAAATAATGTAAATTGCCTCAGAAATTGAGGTTTCACTGTCCTTGTCTGAGGACCTCTCCAAATACACATCTTTTGTGTCACTCCTGGACTATGGCTGTTATGAGGTCAGCTCATTTGTAGGGCTGAGTTAGAGGGTTTTTTTTTGTTTTTTTTTTGCAGTACTGGAGCTTGTGGGCAGCTTTTTAAAATTAGCTTTACTTTTACTTCACCACATTTTTTCCAGGTGCGAGCAAACCCTTGCTCAATGTATGCTAGAGAAGGAACACAAGCAAAGTAATGACCCTCTGGAATTAAGATTACTACCATACAGACTCTTTAAGCAGGATTATGGAAATGGTTTGCTAATACTTTCTTCCTAGTCAGTTTCAAAATCTCCATAAAACAATTGCCTAGTCTCTATAAGCAGCCTGCACAGAATTTTTAGCTCACTTGGCCTCTAGCCTTGAGTGAGACCCCTACTCATCACTGCCTGGAACTCTACATTGCAGTTTACAACCATGGTTAGAGATATTGTAAAAAATGACTCTATACTAGCTTGCTAATAGCTAGCAGGGGGTTTTAACAGAAACAGAAGAAATTGAGCCTTAACAGCAGGATGGCTTTGCCCGATAAGAACATTTCTTTAGTGCAAATGGCTATGTGTACCCAACATGTAATTAAACCACAAATGGTGGTGAGAGAAGATTAGCAATATTTTCTTTCCTTTCTGCATGGAATGGCAGTTGAAAGGATTCTTGTGGCTGTAGAAGTTTTGGCAATTCAAGCAGTGGGGCATAGTAGGAGTCCCACTTTTTGGATCTCTTCTATTGGTCATCTGGAGGGATAATTGATTGCCTCACGGTATTCCCTGCTAGTTTTCACCTTCTCTTTTTAACTCAGCAGCTTTCTCATCCATAAGCTTCAAACTGACTGGTGAGGAATTGGAAAATGAAATTGAAAATTGCATAAAACGTAATTCCTGTTATGCCTGGAAACCGAGCAAATTAAGTTTTCCTCATCACTTATTTCTTTGTGAGTAAAAACTTCACCAGCTAAATGTCCAGAAGTGAAGCTCTTTACAGAATGGGCCAGTAAGAAAAAACTAGGACTAGATTTGCCTAAAATGCTAATCCATAACAATAATTAATTGAATTAACCTAACTGCCTGGATTTACATAACACTGTCAACTAAATCCATACAACACATTAAACCTGGGTAAATATAAACAACTGCTGTATTCACATCATATATTTGCCCAGAATGTTTTGCATGGGTGATAATTTTTTTTTTTTTGTAAATAAATATGCTATGCCCAAATCAACCACATTATGGTTTAATGCAGTGGCCTCATTCCCATAAGACAAGAATACAATTGGTTCAGTTCCTACAATGCAGGGAACCATAAACTGTCCAACCCAATTAAGACTTTTTGGGGAGATTAGCCAATAAACCATTCTCTAGCCTAGATGATAGTGCAAAACCATCCATATATTGGAAAGGAAGTTCAATTGGGCTTACTCCCACAGAAGTGTACGTTTGCCTATACACTGACCTTCCCCAACATAGTGCTCTCCAATGGGATTGGACCCCAGCTCTGCGGCTACCGCTTGGCTGGGGATGATGGAGATTCTAATCCAAACTTTAGGAGTGGACCAGGCTGGGGAAGGATGCTCTGCCCACTTACCTGGGAGTAAGTCACACTGAACTCAGTGGAGCCTATTTTCGGCTAGGCAGGCATAAGGCTAGCGCGGTTAGGGCCCTCTTTTGACACGAGACCAGGCCAGCTTAACCGAGCCGGTGCTTCGGGGTCGCCGGCCTGGCCCACAAGCGCCGCCTCTGCCGGGCACTCACAGCGAATGGTGTGGAAGGAGGCTTTGGGGTGCCGCTCGAAGCTTTCGCCCAGCTGCAGCGGATGCTCCTCCTTGTCCAGCAGCGGGTTCGCCGCGCCGTTCATGGCTTCTGCGGTACCCACCGAGGACAACCAAAACA